ACAGGATAACTGTAGTATATGATAACAGCCTTACTGATCTATATTTCAAACCTCGTTCTGATATATGTAAAAAACATTCTGGTATCCTTTAAATGAATTGTATTACTATTACATACACATGCACACGCTACATAGAAAACCTTTTATGTGTCATGCATATCTGATAATTGTATATAATTAAATTTGATGAATATCTATTTAAATGTAATTTGAATATTATGATGGTCTGACCAGAGGCGGGACTAGAATTTTTTTCTTGGGGGGGCCAGGCAGGGGCACAGACTGTAGAAGGGTGGCACACTAAAATGACAATTTTATTTAAATGCCTTGTAGTCTGAGACTGTACTGAACAGTAGCCCAAGGTTTGAATAACAAAATTATTTATTTACCTAAATAATACACTTATTTTTTGTTTAGCATGTAAGACTTATGCAGTGGACAAGGAACTTGAATACATCACAATTTTTTTTTTTGGTGAAAAAGTTCTCAATATTTTGAGTCCTTTTCATCCTAATCCTGCTCTCTCCCTATAACTGTCTGTCCCTGTAGAAATCGTGCACATTGTTTGGTTTGGTTACTTTAGGTCAGAAAAATGACTCACTAAACTGAAACACACAGGCTAGATATCACATGTAATTATTCACTATAGCATACTTTCACCTAAAACGACTCTCACTACTTAAAATATTCTTCAGAAATATTTAGATCAAAAAAACGTGCAAGCTTGAGGCTGCTAACTGTAACGTTTGTGACACTGGCGGGCTAATTTTTCCTATTCAAGCAATTAGCATGCTTAGCTCGGTGTAGCTGAACTCTATAACTTAGCGGCGCTATGCTAACGCTGTACAACTTACTTGTCATCCTCAAGTCAACATTTGCGAATCATTAAACACTAAATATAGCAAACGACTGTTTACTTAACCCTTTTTCGTCTTCATGCTTTAGTAGTAGTCCAACAGGCTTTGAAACAGAGGAGGCTGGAGCTCAGCCCTACTGTTTGAAGCGCTACTCTAACTGAACAAACTGAGTGACAGCTCTGTTGGGGGTGGCCAGGCAGGGTGGCCAATCAGATTTCAAGGGTAGCCGGTGCCACCCCCAGCCACCCCTGTGGTACCGCCTCTGGGTCTGACCCATATAATATAATTATATTAATTGGGGGTATCTGTTGTAACTTGAGATGTCTGGACACAACAGCTAATAATTATTAATTAATTATATTTGTTAAAGTTACTTTTGTATTCATTTTACAGACAAGGTGAATGCTATTAAATACATGGCCCTGTGTTTAGGAAGCACCATCGTTATGATCTTTGTATTTGCAGGTAAGTTTAATTGTAATGGTGTTGGGCTGTTGGTATATCAGTGGGTTAGGGCTCCGTGCTCATGTCTGGAAGGTTGTGGGTTTAAATCCCATTAGTGGCAGAGTAACTATAGCTTATCCCAGCTGCTTCAAGAACAGTAGCTGACCCTAATGTCAGATCCCAAATTGTACACTGCTTTGGACAAAAATGTCTGATCAGTAAAATTTTATGGTTTTGAAACAAAACAACTAAATCAAAATAAAGCAGCAGTTCCAGGTAAAATATTAAACACAAACATACTTCAGTGTTTTATTAATTTTTCATCTGTCAATCACAGAGTTGCAGGTTTTAAAATACATCCTTAAATCAGAGCTCGATTCCCACCAGAATCCCCAGCTTACCCCCCCATGCAGTAACCCAGCTAAGAGGGACGGTCCTTAGCAGGGTGGGTAAGACAAGGACCTGTAACCTGAAGTTTCCCAACCCAAGTCCTGGGAGAAGCTCAGCCTGTTTACCTTTAGACAGGTGCTGAACCTGAACTGCTCCAGTGCCCAGCTGTCTGAAAGGGGGCGGTTTTAAATAGCTAAGAAATGAGGATTATTTAAAATAATAATAAGCAGAGGAAGAGCAGCATGAAGTAGCTGCTCCACAGCTCTGCAGGCCTGGAGATTCCTGTCAGCACCTGGACCAGAGGGAGGCTGATGGATTAAGGGAGTAAACTGTCTTTGTTTAGGCTGGGGGCAGTTTGACTTTATAGCTGTTTGGAAGCATGATTTAGGCTGAATAATGTCTCCCAGCCAAATACACTCACTGACTTTTCATGATCCTTATTAATCTGCTTCTTAATCTGGGATATGTGGATTTCTGCCCCTGACTGAAAGTTTCAAATCCTGTGGCTGGTAGAGTGATTTCACCATTTGGCTCTAGAAAGGCCCTTAACCACAGACTGGCCCTGCTCTCTGACACTCACGTATGCATTGCTCTGGAGAAAAGCATCTGCTAAATAAATAAATGTACTTTCAGTACAACAATATTCAACATGGGATTGACAGCGAGAGCCCTCAGGTGACAGGGGTATGCAGTGTAGGGTCTTAAACACAGGATCACTGAACACATCTGTTTTCCCTCTGCCTTACATTACAGTTTTTCTGAATTGCTAGAACAGTAAACTTCATTCTTGGAACAAAACCATCAACTTCCTAAACACATTTATAAAATCAGTCACTCATTTGGCAAAACTTTAATTAAACAGTGTTCACCTAGTTAGACATAATTTACACATGTAAGGCACCGTTTTTGCAGAACTCTAAACACATTCTCATCCATCAAAACACTTTTTGCACCTTGATGCTCAGTAGTGTTTATGTACTGACTGGCTTGAATTGTGATCTAAAAGCAGTGTTTGGTTTTGAGTAAAGATAAAATATTTTTGATAAGATTGATTTTGCAAGATGAGTCAAAAGTATTGCAAATGTTGCTTGAAAATTGGGTTTTGTGTTTACCCTTTCGAGAAAAGGATGGAAGATTTCAGTAACTGTGCTTTAGCATCTCAGAAAATCTGTAGTAACATGTTGACTGACAATTCTTACCTCATTTCAGGTCTGTTCATTGACTATTCAATAAACCTTTCCCCAACTCCAAAAGATAAAGCAATAACTGGAGGCATAATGGGTGGAATCACATTTTTTCAAATCATAATTGCTATATGCCTAGGTGAGTATGTTTTTAAATGGATTTCTGGAATACTGGATCAGAATTAGGAATTGTGGTATTCACATGATTTAAATTTTTACAGTGTCTGTTTTGTTCACTGTTTGGGCAGCCTGGTGCCTCAGTGCTCAGCACTTGAGTCCCCCCTCTTCTGTATCTGTGTGCAGTTTGCATGTCATGTAGGTTTGAGTCCCCCTCCTCTTTAGAAAAAGACTATGCATTATGTCTGATGTAATTAAAAAAAGTTTGCTAAATTTGTATCCAGAATTACACAGTATGTATGTTAATGTAAAAGTATGCATAAATATAAAACTAATAAGTATTTAAAAAATACAAAATAAATTGTAAGTGTGGACGTAAACCTTTATATAATAAGCTATATATTTAATTACAGATAATTATTGTCATTTCACATAAAATTCTATGCAATTTAAGAAGACAGAAAAATCTTGTATAAATAATAGAGTGAGTTTTGTATATAATAAAAAAAACAGAAATTATGCCTTTTTTTAGTGATAGGCATTGTCTTAATTCTACGGAAGAGGATTAGGGCCACCATGAAAATATTATTTGAATTCTGACTTTTTTCTCAGAATTCTGACTTCTCAGAATTCTGACTTTAATCTCAGAATTCTGACTTTAATCTCAGAATTCTGACTTTTTTTTCTCAGAATTCTGACTTTAATCTCAGAATTCTGACTTTTTTTTCTAAAAAAGTCAGAATTCTGAGATTAAAGTCAGAATTCAAATAATATTTTCATGGTGGCCCTAATCCTCTTCCGTATAATTCCAATAGAAGTCTCCAAATAAAGTAAAAAATAAATTATTGCTGTATCTGTGTCGCATGGGCTCAATAAAGCACCCATGTTTTTTTTTATTCAGTTTATGACATTTGTTTCAAAACAAGAGGTGAATGTTTATGAACAAAGAAACAACTGTCTACATCTAAAACCAAATGGCAAATGGCTCTAAAAACAGAAACCTGACAAACATTGTAAGTGTGCTTAATGGACTGGAAAGATCATCATTTTAAGGTACAGTGGTACCTCGACCCACGAACAGTCCTGTTCACGAACAAATCGGGTTATGAACCAGATGTTTGAAAATGTTTTGTACCAATTCGCGAACCGTGTTTCAGGCTACGAACACACAAACATCCCCCAAAAGCACCCCAAAGAACCACCCGAAACATGAAGAAGTGTACATTATGCCCAAAAACGGTCATGGAATGTATAAAAAGATAGATGTATGTCTTTACTATATCTCTTCAGAATATCTGAAAAAATAACAAAATGGAGAAAGGTATAGCTGTACCTTTCAGTGATTGATAAACATGTTTGTGATGGTTTTAAACAGTCACATATCTATACATAAAATTACAGTACTTCATTAATAACATAAATTATTAAGTAACTCCTATTTAAGTATTATATTCTCCATTCACACATAGTGGCAACTGCGTATTGTTTGTTTACAGTACAAAGAAGTTCATCGCCATACAACGCGTGGCATCACGAAATGTACATAAAAATTTCAGGCATATGAAAACAATGTACAGTATAATAAAAAAAAAATCACATTTTCGAAATTACTGTATTGTTTTTGACTGTTACTCAGTCTTTTAATGTTAATTGTTTAGTTTTTTTGGAGGATGTTTTGTGGTTCTTTTCCGTGTTTTGCCGTATTTCGAGCGACCAGCCCGCCAACAAGCGTATGCTCAGTTGTACTGTTTTATTTAATTTAACTTTATTTGTGTATAATTAAGGTTATTTTAATTTAAATCTATATTCTTCGTGACAGAAAAAAAAAATCAGTGTTTCTGAGGTTTGAACGAATTATTTGTATTTACATTTTTTTAAATGGGAATAATTGATTCAGGTCGAACTTTTCGGGTCGCAAACTGAGTCCTTGGACGAATTAAGTTCGTGAGTTGAGTTATGACTGTATTAGCCTTCAGTAATAAAACAAGTATTGAAAATGACAATACTTTTAACATCTTTAATAGAGCCGTAATATTGATGCACAATAAGAGTATATCAGTATAGTATGTCAGTATAAACAGTATTGTCTCATCCTATATTTGAAAATATATCTGAATACTGTAAAAATGTGATATACTGCCCAGTCCCAATTGGTTCTACTTAAGAATAAGTCAATTATGCTATTGAATACTATGGATAATACCAGCCATTCATCCATCTTCTAACCACGTATTCTGGTTATGGTTAGGGTGATCCTGGAACCTGTTTCAGGCTGAGGTGCATCCTGTATGGGATGCTAGTTATGGAAACTATGGTTTCCTACTAATTGATTTGACCAAAATGCTGTCCATTTTCTTCAGCTATTTCTTCGTTTTAGTCTCTTGGCAACACTAGATACTCTTGTGTATTGCACTCATACTGTATAGTCCTCATGGTGTTCTGAATAGCTTTTCTGATGTTAGGTTCTGACAATGATTTGTAATGTTTTGTTCCAGAACTTGCATTTATAACATGTCACTCATTGGAAACTCACTCTAGCAGCACTGGTACTAAAGTTGCCTGTTTCACAGCTGTAATATTATTTTGGACCTTCTATTATACTTAATGCTAATAACTCACAGAGACATCGATTAATATTACATATGCGCTTTTACTCAAAAAAATTTCTCCCATTCAACAGGAGTATATCACCTGAGAAGGCAAGCGCCAGATACAGGTAAGGAAATTCATAACATATTTTACATACATTTTATTTCTCCTCTTTAGAAATTCAGTCGTACACTTACAGTATGCATTTGCTATTTAACAAAAAAAAACCCTTGAGTACAACAACAACAACAAATTTATTTTTGTATAGCGCATTATCACAACATTACATTGTCCCAAAGCGCTTTACAGCATCCCCACCCAAAGCCCCCAGTGAGTAAGCCATAGGCGACAGTGGCAAGGAAAAACTCCCTAGAAGGAAGAAACCTTGGGAGGGACCAGACTCAAAGGGGGAGCCCATCCTCCAGGGGCCGGCAGGGAGAGTCAAATACAGTTCAATCTGAAACACAAAATGGGAGCAGGGGGGAGATGACAAGCCGGTGCCACGGCTCCCTCTAATCGCCAGGCAGCCAGAAGGCAGGGAGCGGATCATACAAGGAAGTTGACACAGGCAGAACAGCGAGCTGGATGCACGGACGTCATTGGTAGTGGCGACGTCACATGTTGCAGGGTGTGCTGGACATCTTGATAGATTGAGGTCTCCAGGCAGCTCCCCCCAGGAGAAGTAGGGGAAATAAATGCAATTAGTCAAAGTAAGGGAGACTATAGGCAGTGCTATAACGTAGTTGAGTGCAATATGAAGTGCAATGCTCCGGCAGATATGGCTGGGTGAGAGG